CAACCAAAATAAATTGTTCTATTGTTGAACGCCCACCAGCTTGGTTAGATGACTTGTATGGTGCATGAATGACAGATACCTTATGACCCTTGTACATGTCATATTTTTGTGATGTTATGATGTATAATGTGTGATATGTTATGTGATGATTTATGTTATGATACGAACCATGATATGATATAAATATTATATGATGCATGAACCCCCATAATCATGCAACGTATATTATGTTGCATGTTCACCCTATACCTATGAGATATTGATATATCATGTAGGTTAATCATGAAAGATATATCTAATATATGTATGTATGTCTCATAGGAACGCTATGTCATGAAAAGAAATGGACGCATGACTTGCATCATAAATCTGTATAATAATATTAAACTATGAGATCTCATGCATTTTGTATATCACGTGTAGAGATTCTCCCTTGTTATGATTGGTACGGACGTGTATACCATGACATTATAAACAGTCTTTTCCCTCAATGGCTTCCGACAACATGAGCATGCACTAGCCCATAGTCAGGCCAAGAGGTACGTATATAAGCTCACCTAGTGAGTCCATGTGCCTGTGCATGAGTCGTGTGTAGAGAAGCACTGCACATCCAACCTATCTGGATAGGAAACTAGAGACCAAGGCCGAGTTATTTTACAAAAAAATAGGTCTTACTATGGTTTTTCATGTGATTGCATTTTCTGATGGCTCTAGACCGGCATTTTTGCTGATTCTACTTGGGTCTGATACACTTGAACCCCTTCCTACTAGTTTCAACTATTCGTAAGTATTTAAGGTTAGAATGACTATCTTTTAGTTAGTATAAATTATTTGAAGTAAGTTTAAATTATTGTATGCAAAATTAGGTGAGTCAATTTCCATAGTATAATTCTAATTTATGATTGTAGGACTCCTTAGGTAGAATTAAAGTTCAGAGAGCAACGTTAAGCTAGCATCATCAAAGGGTCGTAGTAGCTTTAGCTTACGCCAACCAAGTAAGTGACTACTATCGGTTTATTAGGTTATGAGCTGCTGGTTATTTATAGGTTAGTCAACGGTTATACATATTAAAGGTAAATGACCTATAAATAAATTGTCATAAATAGTAAATAGTATGTATGGTAAAAAGTTATAACCGGTAAAGTTATATATGGCAGATATAGTTATATAGGGTAGATAGTTATATTAAAGCTATATATAGTAAGCTGAACTTTTTATATATATATATATATATATATATATATATATATATATATATATATATATATATATATATATATATATTTTTT